TCTGGTGTTGTGATGTTATGTTGAGGGCTGCCACCCATGCTACATCCCCTTTTTCTGCAGTCCTAGTTCCCTCCCAGGTGGCACACACTGCCTCTTCTGGTAGTCTTTCTGAGCACTGATCCATAAAAACACTGATATCAAGTGGACAGTGTGAAAGCGTGTCTGCATCAATGTTCTGTTTGCCTGGCCGATACCTGATTTCAAAATGGAAATCGGCAAGCTGCCCCACCCAGCGATGACCCACAGCATTGAGCTTGGCTGTGCTCATAATGTAGGTCAGGGGGTTGTTGTCCGTGAAGACCGTGAAATGGGGCGCATAGTACAGGTAGTCGACAAATTTTTCACATACTGCCCATTTCAAGGCCAGAAACTCCAGTTTCCCACTATGGAGGTGGTAATTCTGTTCTGCTGGGGTCAGTGTGCGTGACCCATAACCTATCACCCTCATCTTATCATCTTGTTTCTGGTACAGGACCGCCCCCAGGCCCTGTTGGGACGCGTCTGTGTGCAGTATGAAAGGGTGATCAAAGTCTGGGTAGGCTAGCACTGGTGGGCTTGTTAGAATGTCTATGAGACGCTCAAGAATCTGTTGGTGTTGGCTGCCCCACTCTACTGGAGTCCGTGAAGATAACTGCGGCCCCTTCCCCTTTTCTCTTACAAGGTTAGTTAGAGGTGGGCTGGGGTTTGTCTTGAGCAATTCATAAAGCGGTCTGGCTATGCGGGAGAAGTCCTGCACATAAGCCCGGTAGTAGCTCAGAAAACCCAGTAGCTGCCTGACATCACCGACTGTTTGAGGGGCTTTTTGCTTTAGCGCCTGTACTGCCTCTAGGTCCTTTGGGTCTATCCTCACTCCATCTGCCGACACCAGGCGGCCTACATACCTGACCTCTTTGCGGAGTAGCTCACATTTCTCAGGGCGGAGCTTAACTCCATGGCGTTGCAGAGCTTGAAGTACACGCCGCAAGACCTCAACATGTTCCTCAAAGGACCTGGAGAAACATAGCACATCATCCAGATAAGGGATGCAACACTCATCTGTGAGTGTGTCCAACATTTCCTCCATGCTTCTTTGGAAGGCTGCTGGTGCATTAGAAAGGCCAAACGGGATCCTGACCCACTCATATAAGCCCCATGGGGTGGTGAATGCAGTCAGGTGCCTGGACCCCTCCGCGATAAAGCCTTGGTGGTAAGCCTTGCCCTGATCTAGGATGGAAAACCACCTGTAGCCTCCGAGTGAGTCAATCAGGTCCTGTATGCGGGGGAGGGGGTGCCGATCTGGCACAGTCTTTTTGTTGAGAAGCCGGTAATCAATGCACAGGCGCAATGATCCGTCTTTCTTTCTCACACAAACAATAGGGGCAGCATATGGCGAGTGTGATTTTACAATCCACCCCATTCACAAGCAGCTCCTGTATATATTCTTTAACCTCCCTGTACAATGGCTTTGGGACTGACGCATAAGCCTTTTGGACTGGGGTGTCATCTTTGAGTCTAACTGACATTTGGAGAGAGGGTATACATCCAATGTCACTGCCGTCCCGTGCAAAAGCAGCTGATTCCTCATTCAACATTTTCTCGACTATTCTCTGCTGTTCTGAACTAAGGTGACTGAGGTCAACCGGTGGTCGCCACAGGTCAGCAGGGGGAGTACCAGGAGAGGCCACATTAACTTCAGCCTTCAATACACAAGCTTGTGTTGGACCCCCATCTCCAACGTCCTGTTCGCCTGGCTCCAGAACTTTGGCAACATGTTGGATGGAGCCAAGTTGGGACCTCTTTGGCAGAGTGATTACTTGGTTTGTGTGGTTGGAAATTGGCACTCTAACAAATGGTTGTTTGGTGTTACTGATTTCCAACAATCCTTCCCCCACACTCAGCTGCTCTAGCGTGGCGCTATCCTCTAGTGGCTCATACAGGACAACAGGGTTGGAAATGTCAAAGGTAGATGGTACTTTACATCGCACATTTACCGTTTTACCAGGTGGAACATAAACATTTTCCTTCCCTACCCTAATGGTGGTTATACTGTGGTTTGACTCTTTCTGCAGATTGATAAAGTTGACCATGGCTCTTGCCTGTTCTTCCTCCACTCCTAGGGCTTTGCGGAGAAGGCTGAGGATCATAGTGTGTGCATCTGCATCACACTTATGACTATTAATCATCCCTTGGAGGACATTGGCTCCCAGTAGTGGCTGGGGGAGGGGGAGCTGGCTGATTAGGAAGGGTACTTCCATTGTAAGGTTGGGATCGGTGTTCCCCGGGAGATTAACTGTTAGCTCCACCCACCCATCATATGGGATTGGCTGACCATTTGCTGCACACAGGTCAAGGCTTTCCCCAGGATCAAGAAGTTCTTGTAAGGGCCTCACTGCATATTGGGGAATGAACGTCTCCTTCCAGGATCTATCAATGATGCTCACTTGTGAGCCAGTATCAAATAGTACTGTCACAGCATAGCCGTTGACAAAACAATTTAGTAGGCTCCTTTTACCAATCAATGGCACTGTTCGGGCTGTACTGTCAGTAACTGCTTGGCTTTTCGGTGGGGAGGGCTGGCTTTCTTTGCAGCGTTTTTTTCCCTTTCCCTTCAGACGTCTCAGTTTGCTAGTGGGCATTACTGAGTGGGACTGGGGATTTGGGATGGTCTCTGTCTGTCCCTCAACAGAGACCGGCTCCCGTTTCCCGGCTGGTTGGTTTGTTTTAAACAGCCAATTGCCCTATGCCCGGCATCCCCACACACAAAGCAGTGATTACAGTTTTCTGAGCCTTGCTGCATACATTTGGTGCAGCTGGGTATTTTACCTCTCCTTGCAGCTGAAGGTTGACTTGGTGGAGGAGTGAGTGCCTGGTTAACAAGAGGTTGGGTGCCATGGAATTGGTCCTGGCCTGGCGTTTGGAAAGGTGCAGTCTTTGATTGGGTTGTATGAATAGCTGCCGCTTGTTGGCCCATTAAAGTCGCAACCATGTTAGTCAAAGCCTCTACTTGTGCACTAAGCTGTTGGATCGCATCATTATCCCCACTGTTTGCACTCACATCTCCTCCTTCCACCTGGACACTATGTGTATGTGTTGTTTTTTGACGGGGGGCATGACCTAACCTACGCTGGTGTTCATTTTCATCGCTAATCATCTTCATAACCTGTCTGAGAATCTCCTCATCAGTGACGTTGCTGTTTGAAAGGAGTGGCCTTAGTTGCTGTCTGATGTCAGTATGTTTTGTGCCCAGGCCTTGGTAGATACTGTGAAGGAAGACTTCCTGAATAGTTTTGGGTTCATAACGAATGTCTGTACTGACCTGTTTTGATTGGAACAGGATCTTCTGTTTGAGTCCAATCATGCGGTACAAGAACTGTTGTGGGGTTTCTTGTTCACTCTGTCTTGCACACATAAGCTCTTGGAACAATTCAGTGCTGGCCTTTTCACCCAGGTGTGATCTGAGAAAGCCCTTGAGTTCATTCACAGTGATTTCATCTTTGTTGATGAGCATATCCTTGAAGACACCTGGCTTTACAATTCTCAGTACACCCCGGATAACCTCAGTCTCTGTGAAACCCTCTCTAATGCCTTCATCTATCTGTTTACACATGCTGCTATAAGTTATGTCAGCATTGTGGTCCCCAATCTGGCCACCATGTACCTTAAATTCCCTCCGTTGGAGGTAAGAGAGGTCCTTTAAGGAAACCATTCTCTCAGTGGTTACATGTGATGAGGGGTGAGGTATTGCTGCATGTGTTACTGGGTCACCTATACTGTGTGCCCCACTAGGATGTGTGTTACTTGCATTTCTAAAATGCTGTGGCTCTCCACCCCGCTCATCATTTATGATTCTAGGCTGGGTTGGACTCAGATTGGTGGTGCGAGCCTGTGCACCAAAGTCAGTCTGCTGTGATGTTGTAGGCTCTCTGGGGATGAGAAGTAAGGGGGTGGTATGCTGTTGAGTGTTAGTAACTGGTGGTAACTGGCCTAAGGTAGCATGTGTCACTGTAGTGCGCTCGACTGTCTTAGCACTAACAACTGGTGACTCCAGTGGCTGCGCCACCCCATTAGCAGTGTTCAATAGGCCACGATTTTCAACCATACTGCATACAAGATCATTTAGCACCAGCAACTGACTCATTCCCTCATCCTCAGAATTTAACAAAGCATCTGACTGCATATAGTTGATAATGCAATCCACACAACCTTCTTCATCAGTGGACTCTAATTCACTACTCTGGCTGTCTGTGACCAGGTCCCTTGCGAGCTGATAGGCTTCTGCACCTGAAAGCTTATACAAGTTCTTTTTGATGCTCCAAACCAGCTCCTTGCGCGCTGCTGCCATGATGAGCTTCGACTAATGAGACACAGAGGTGCAGTTCCGTTGGTGGAGTGAAGACCCTCGTACAGATCTTGACTTCTCTTTGTGGACACCCACCAGCTGTCGTCTCGGCTACAGCGATGCCATCTCACGTTGACTTTCTGGTTCTAGTATCTCTGGACCCTCTTCCTTAGAAGACTCAACAGGAAGTGGATCCCGGACGAGCCCCCACAATTTGTTACGGGCCCCAGGAATGGTGCCACAATAACAAAGAAGAAATCCCTGCAAACACAGGTAAAGTTCAGGAGCAATGAAGACAGTGCACTCGGTTTGCCTCTCAGATTGCATCTGACTCGTGGGCGGAAGTCCATCCCCCTAAAGCAACCGGGTTGCACCTGTCTTGGAATAATAGTTCCGCCTGGGGTGTTGCTCCATTTCTTTGTACCTTCTATACAGTTTATGTGACAAAATAATGCACTGGTTAGGTTGGTCATGTTGTCAAAGTCATTTTGGATATTAATAGCCACAGAAAATAACTGATAAACAAATTAAATAAATTAAATTAAATGATTAACACAGAAGTGGCCATGCATTTTGGGTGTGCCACACAATCATAACCACCTGCACCCCATGTACCAAAGGCCATTTGCTACATCCTATTAACCTTTCCTTCCCCACTTTCCTATATGATCTCTCTCCTCAGGAAGGTGAATAAGTGCTACAGAGGACGATCCTGCCCCATCATCGTGCACTGCAGGTACTACACAAATGCCAAGATATGTAAATATTTGCTAAAATCTGCCCCTGAATACCACAAACGGTGTGACATATGTATACACTTGACCAACTTTCATGGAACTTCTGTAGTATAAACAATTAGTTTTAGTACTTTTTAAAGAGTTTATTATCATCTGTAGTTAGTCTTTAATTAAGTAGACAGTAGTCAGTAAGCTAGAATGGTGCTAGTTTGATGTTTTGTTTGATGTTATCTGAGTAAATTGAAGAAATTCTCATATTTATTTTGTGGTGTCTAATATTTACCTTTGTTCTTCTTTGCTTACAGTGATGGTACAGGACGGACCGGGACTTACATACTGATTGATATGGTTCTGAATCGCATGGCTAAAGGTAAACACTTATATTTATGACTGCACGTGGGTTTTTGTTCCATGAGAATGTAGTGTGTAACACGTCCAGGCAGTTATTTTAAAGCCCTGATCTATACAAATGGAGAGAGAGCTGTTTATGTCAATGACCACTACAACATAAAAACTGCATTTGCAGAATTACCAATCAAATGTGATAAAACTGCTGCAAAGGTTTGGTGATCTAGTCTAAAAAAATTTCCTATGGCTCTCTGCATAGTCATTGTCTGTAAGCAGTAAATCTTTTTCATTGATGTTACAAAATTTTCCCATAGATTTTCTAAAGCTACAGTCATGAAGTGCTAGACACTGGTTGCTGGAATAAAACACTCCTTGCATTTGCTTTGCAGGGATCACTAGTAGACTGTAGCAGTCCCCTGTAGTTTGTTAAAGTCTTTCTTACAAAAGAATAAGTGAGACACAAACTGGAAACATGTTTGTTTGCCTTTAAAGTAGTCGTGCCTTATCACTGGAGTTAAAACGTGTGAAAAGGCAAAACTTTCACTTTGCCCCCCAGCAGTCTGCTTATAATTAAATCAGTCTCAAAGAGGGTTGTGTTGCAGAGTGATTTCACCTGGCAACTGCCTCCAACAACCACTCTCCAGCTAGAAAGGGAATATACATTTTCCCCTACCAACCAGTGTTTTTCAGGGAGTCATAAATTGATCTCTAGGCCTGTGCAACTGGGGCCTAACTGAGGTAAGTGACCCAAAGAAAGATGATTCCTTTGTTATCTCCTTGAGCAGAGTATACACTGACCATCCTTTTTGAAAGAAAAGGAAATTAAGCCGTTCCACGAGTGTAGACAAACGAATGCAAACCAAATTAGCGCAAAACTTAAACTCCCCTTGATCATTTTTAATACAGTTCATAATCTCTAATTGGAGAACTCTGTCTTTTACTGGGTTGTCCACATTTATAGTCTAAGAACTCTTGGGCTCCCCTATCTGGAACACTTATATATAAGCCATCTATGTCCACTGTGAATGACCATCTTTGAACAGAGAGCGGGGCTTTACGACACCAACTGTCTGCTATCTAAAATTCAGTTATGAGATCCCTTCCCAGACGCCTTAACGCCCACTCACATCCTGGGCCATTTGACCTCAATAAATCACGATAGGGTTGGGCTAGGTTTTACTATGGGTTCACCCGAAACCTTGGCTGATTGGAACCCACACCCATTTTCACACCTTGGCTCATGTGATTAGGTAGAGGATCAGTAGGGGGGCTTAAAATCCGGGACTGTCCACCAATTGCGCTTAGAACTAAAGAAGTTTCTTGGATGAGAGGCTTTATTAAGTTTTCTTTAAGTTCAAGAAAACTTAAAGAAGTCCAGACACTTTTCTTTCCAAGCTCCTTAGACTACGATGACCTGGAAGACTGAGAGCCTTCACAGATGAACACTTGTGGTATTATTATCTAGAATTCTTGGGGATCTAGAACTGCTGGGTTGTAGTATCTAAGATTTTCTTTTTGTATTCCATCTTCAGGACATTGTAGTTTAAAGCCATCAGATCACTGTCAACAGCATCTGTAGTAATATAATTCTAGAGTATGTAAAGTCTGTCTGCCCTTTTCCTCAGTCCTTACAAAAAACAATCTTGTAATAAAAGTTTAACCAGTCTATCTCTTTTTGCAGGCGTGAAAGAGATAGACATCGCTGCTACACTGGAGCATGTCCGAGATCAGAGGCCTGGGATGGTCCGCACCAAGGTGAGTTTCTCTTCTCTCTTTTCATTTACTTGCGGTTCATTTTTTTGTTTTTCTGAAGAATAATAAGAAATAAAGAAAAAATCTGTCTTAAACTAGTTTAAAAAAAAGAAGCTTTATCTGAATTTGGTGACTACATTATTTTAACTGGTTTTAGACTGGTTTATGGCATAGCTTTGACTTTGTTTAGTTTTTAGCTGGTTTTAGACTGCTTCATGACTTTAAACTAGATTTAGGTTTCTAGTTTTAATTGGTTTCAGTTTTATTCTGGTTTCCAACATTAATTGAAACTAGTGTTGGAAGGAGTTTTAATATTTTAACTTGGTTTTTATAGAGCAAAATCATAGCTCTATAAAAGGTAATATCAGGCAAGGTAATATCAGTTAGTCACATCAAATCATTTTGATGATTCTAATTGAACAATTAGGTCCAAATATGTCTTTGTTCTTTCTCTGATTGGTGGACTAGTTTTAACCACACACTTCATTCAAATGTGGGCAGTTATTGTTGCAAAAACTTTTGATGGGATGTTTTGCTACTAGTCTTTGTGTTCAGTGATATGTCTTTCAGTCTTACATTAAATGCATATAAGAGTACAATACTTTTGCAGACAGACTTGAGCATTTCTTAGCTTCCAGTATTTTCTACTTTACGCTAAGTTCCTTTAACTTCGGGGAGTACCAATGGAAAATTGGCCTTTTCTCTTTTCCAGGACCAGTTTGAGTTTGCACTGACTGCAGTTGCTGAGGAGGTGAATGCCATTCTCAAAGCTCTGCCCCAGTGAAACCAGTATCGAGCAGGGCTCTGATGAACGGACCCCAACGACTTGACCCACGCGCTTGACTTGTAACCTACCTTTCTCTTTCTGTCTACTGACAAACGACAGCATTAATAGGAGTCACAGAGACTGAAGATTTTAGCAAGGAGTTAATCTGTTTCGATAGTTGACACGGGTGTGTCCAGGGACCTTCAGGAGAAAGAAGTAATGAAAATTAAACCTGGATCATGTGGCTATTGAAAGTGGTTTTCAGTTTTAAATCTGATTGTTACCTGTTGAAATCCAATCTGAAAGTGTTGTAGCTGTTGAAATGAATTGACTTTTGCCTCAAGGAATAAGCTAAATTTAAAATGCATATTTACATCTACATGTATTTGAAAGCATCTGAATGCTCTAAAAGTGTTGTAATGCAGTGTGAAGACTGACATTTAATTTCCTCTCCTCACACGACTAACATCCTTTGTGCCATTTGGATTGTTTTGTGTCTCTGAATATTGTTTGTTGCCTCATGCAAGATAAAAGAAAATCTTAAAAAAAAGAAACTATTCTAAGAGAAAAAAAATAAAAGCTATTTTGTATCTGTAAGACCTTAAATAAATCTTTTCGTGTGTAAGTGCTGCAAATACTTCATGCGAGTTCTGACTTTGTCTGAGGCTTCGCGACAGCCAGTTCTTTATTGCGGTTTTGTAGAACTACATCCATGCATACCACTTAGCTATACTTGCACCATTTTAATCCTTTAAATTTAGATCTCTTCACATGTTTTAATAGCTTTTTATAGACTCTTCAATTTGATTAGCTGGAGCTACAAATGTTTAAATTAATTTTTCTGCAAGTTTTCTTCCAGCTAACCAGGTTTGAGTCACTCATTTCCAAGCATTTACTTTGATTACATTTAACAAAACAAAATAAATAACTAAAATAATTCACACAAAACTTAAACTCTAATTCTCTGAACTTCATGTTTCATAGAATGTACACATTACAACTTGAGAGATTGCATTCATTCCGACCCAAAGTAAACACAGACAAAGTATAACTTTATTGTGGTTTTATTTGGAATAAATGCATTGCTGGCTGGAATGTGCAGAACTGCAGAAAGATACAAGTCCAATATTGCTTTGTAAACACTGAACTACAGCAATCAGCAAATGGACCTTCCAGAAGCCTAGTACTCCTCGCCTTCGTCCTCCTCTCCAACACTGTCGGTTCCCACCTCCTCATAATCCTTCTCCAGGGCAGCCATGTCCTCTCTGGCCTCTGAGAACTCTCCCTCCTCCATTCCCTCTCCCACATACCAGTGGACGAAGGCCCTCTTGGCGTACATCAGATCGAACTTGTGGTCGAGTCGAGCCCAGGCCTCTGCGATGGCGGTGGTGTTGCTCAGCATGCACACTGCTCTCTGCACCTTGGCCAGGTCTCCTCCAGGAACCACGGTGGGGGGCTGGTAGTTGATGCCCACCTTGAAGCCTGTAGGACACCAGTCCACAAACTGAATGGTGCGTTTTGTCTTGATGGTGGCAATGGCTGAATTGACATCTTTGGGTACTACATCACCACGGTACAGGAGGCAGCAGGCCATGTACTTTCCATGGCGAGGGTCACACTTCACCATCTGATTGGCCGGCTCGAAGCAGGCATTGGTGATATCAGCCACAGAAAGCTGCTCGTGATAGGCCTTCTCTGCTGAGATAACAGGGGCATAGGTGGCTAGAGGGAAGTGGATGCGAGGGTAGGGCACCAGGTTGGTCTGGAACTCTGTCAGGTCCACATTCAAGGCTCCATCAAAGCGAAGGGAGGCGGTGATGGAGGAGACGATCTGACCAATCAGCCTGTTGAGGTTGGTGTAGGTGGGACGCTCGATGTCCAGGTTCCTGCGGCAGATGTCATAGATGGCCTCATTGTCCACCATGAAGGCACAGTCAGAGTGCTCCAGGGTGGTGTGGGTGGTCAGGATGGAGTTGTAGGGCTCCACCACGGCTGTGGACACTTGTGGAGCTGGGTAAACTGCAAACTCCAACTTTGACTTCTTGCCGTAGTCAACGGAGAGACGCTCCATGAGCAGAGAGGTGAAACCGGAGCCGGTTCCTCCTCCAAAGGAGTGGAAGATGAGGAAACCCTGCAGCCCTGTGCACTGGTCAGCCTGGAAAATAAAAGTGTCTGAAACGTTAACCCTCAAGTCTTATTAAAAGCACCAGCTTTAACTTGTTCCAAAGATTTGTGCTCACCAGTTTGCGAGTCCTGTCAAGAACCAGGTCAATGATCTCTTTACCCACTGTGTAGTGACCTCGGGCGTAGTTGTTGGCTGCGTCTTCCTTTCCAGTGATGAGCTGCTCGGGGTGGAAAAGCTGGCGGTAGGTTCCTGTACGGACTTCATCTGAGGAACAAACAAATAGACCTTTAGTGGTGGCTCCACTTCATCATGAAACACTGGGCGCCTTTCTTATATTTGTGTCCAAAGCTGCAAAAATTTATGCTATGAGTAAAATCATTTATTCAGAATGAAGCTATATTTAAGCCTATTTTAGACCATTTACTGAGGGGTTATGAAGTGGCTTCCTACAAGAAACTTAAAGTAACTCGACCACATTTATTTAATTTGAAAAAATTGTGAGTCAACACTCACTTTTATTGCCCAAGTCATAATGGATGGCAACCCAACTTAAAAATGAAAAACTCTGACTTTTGCAACTGCCTCCAAGAGCCTTTGGACCAATTCCTATGTGAAGGCTAAAACCAAAGCATGTGGGTCTTAGTTTTGCTTTCAAGTACCTCACTTGTGCTGCTAGCACCAACAGTGAGCAGCCAACTAGCTATTCTGTTCTATTCTATTAGAATAGCCCTTTATTGTCATGGTACATGTACAACAAAATTATGAGTGCTCCACACCAACTGTGCAGGAGTTTAACAAAATGGAAATGACATCACGAATAAATAGCAAATGGAAGATTGGTAGCATTAGTCAGAAGAAAGCCAGATTTTTGTAGTAAAACCTGTCTGACCAAATATGAATTTGACAGTTAGGGGAAACTTCGATAAACATCAAGAGGCTGTTCCACTGATTGAGTGATACGAAGTCAGAGAACATGACAAAAATGTTCCTAATGACGGCAACAAAAGTAAAGTGGCTAATGTAATCCAGAGCTCAGAGCCAGCAGTGTTGGTATCAGCAGGGAAAGGATCAAAGCAGATTGAAGAAAATGGCACAGAAAGGGGATCGATCTCTTGTTATCTGGTGAAGTTGCAAATATACTGGAGAATGATGTGTACCTTACTGACTTTTTGCTCATCTGTAGTCATTTGTGGGGAACTTCAACATTAATTTAAACTTTCTCATACACAACTGGTTTTAAAATAAGGGACCAAGCTGCACATTTAGAAATATTTACCAATGACTGTCGGCTCCAAGTCCACAAAGATTGCTCTGGGAACATGTTTGCCAGCGCCAGTCTCACTGAAGAAGGTGTTGAAGGAGTCGTCGCCTCCTCCGATAGTTTTGTCACTGGGCATTTGACCGTCCGGCTGGATGCCATGCTCCAGGCAGTACAGCTCCCAGCATGCATTGCCCATTTGGGCTCCGGCCTGGCCGACGTGCATTGAAATACACTCACGCTGTGGAAGAGCAGAGGAAAAGATGAGTTAGCCTAGCTCTTGCTTTGCATTTACAATGTTTATCACAGAACTGCATTTTAAGGCAGTCTATAAATGATCAAATATTTATGACTGTCATGTATGTTTGAATAAGTAACCTTGTTGCCAAAACTGGTTATTTGCATTTGGGTGAGTGCATGAAAAACCCTGGTTAATAGGGCACCATATCAGTTTTAATATTTTGATCTTGGTTAGCAAATACACAGCAGATCATAAACAGGAAAAGTATACTATTACTCTAATTACAGTCCAGATTATTTTACTTTTGAGGAAGGTCAAAGCTTTTTAAGGTAGTAATAAACTTGCATGTTCTCGTGAACAACAGGGCTTTGTAAATATTTGCACCATTTCCAAACACTGAAAGATTTTAATCCAACAGAAAGTCTAAAAAGGTGAACCGACAGTTTTATTTTCCTATATTTGGAAATGAGCTGTTGGAATCCAGATTAAAGTGGTTTCCTGGTTATGTCCATTTCCATCCTTCGTGTGGTTGTTTCTCAAAGTCTTTTTAATCAAGAACCCTCAGAAGCAAAAAGAGTTGAATGTGATACTAACAAAGGTGTAACTAATTGTACTAATCAATTTGACTGAACTTTAAAGTTTCTGTAAGTATCTAGACCCGATTTAAAAAACTAACCTCCCATTAGTCTTATTGAAGGTTTAGGTTCTTTATTAAAGCAAGTAACAAAGGCGTTGAGAATATTACCCTCTATATAGTGAGTAAACTCGTGGGTTAAAGTACGATCAAAAAATAATAATTCTGAAATGAAAAACAAAGTGGTGTAGGTGGTTAGAGATAAGTGTCTGAATGTTTAATGACATAAAACATTAACATTTATTTAAAAATGTTTAATTCAGAAGACTTAGTAATTTCATTTGTAAGATTTTTGGAAACAAGACACATTCAATTGTAGAGTGTGAAAGGAAAAAAGATTAACTTCAGTGCAGTGTCAGGACATGCCGGTGTTGTGCCAAAAAGTGATTGTCTGCCAAAAAGTGATTTCCGGTATTTGCCAAAACGCAATTGCTCATATTTAAAGTGCTATAAGTAACTTGTTGGGCTATAATATGTTAAACATATGTCAAATGCATCCCTTGACATAAAGTCATCTTGAGCCACAAACAACATTCGTGTAACAAGATACAAGCCGCAATCAGTTTTTGGCAGCGACTTTTATATAACCTTTATTTATGCAGTAAAAAAAAAAAAAAAAAAAATCTCATTAACATTAAAAATGTATTTTGTAAGAGTAAGTTGCCCAACAGGACAGCAGAAATGGCAGCAAATATTACAATAGTTCTGTAAAAATATTTTAAATGGGGATAAAGGACCGGATTGGCTATAATGTAAGTACAAGTTGTAAAGATACTTAAAAAACAGATAATTTTTTAATTCTTTATGCAACCCCTTTGTATCCCCTGTTCACCGAAGTCTATTTACGAACATACGTAAAGATATTACACAGAAAAAATACACAGAAACACTGGAAATCAGTTTTTGGCAGACAATCACTTTTTGGCACAACACCGGAACATCCGAGCAGCAGTTTTACCCTTAGGTAGGGCTTTCCGCATGCCTGATGAGCTCCAACATGGCAGGGTGACCCCTCCCAAAAACAGCAGATCACTAAAAATCACCCTGCGGGCAGAGGAGTTTTGAAAAAAAAAAAAAAAAAAAAAATCCATTCAGAGCGGAAGCAGCTCTGCTCCCTGCCCCCACTCTGATCCCCACCTCTGTGTAACGTTCACGGACAGGGCGTTATCTAATGGCGCCAGTTAAAAAAAAAAAAAAAAAACCCAGAAGTTTCAGTTTAAGCACGACCGCTTACAGAAAGACATGACACGTGTGCACACGACCGTTACAGGCCATTTCTATTTCTTTAAAACGTCTTTTTTATTACGAACTCGTGGGGTTTGATCTGCACTCTTTTTTTTGTCTCTTTAGTTTTAACTGCGCCAGCAGTTTGGCCTGCT